GTGGGGGTGGGGATGATAATTAGTGGTATTCTAATTCATGAGGAAACGAACTATGTTTTCCTACAGAAAAGTACACATTACCCGCAATAACAGAGAACCGAGAAATTACCTTTGCTGCCTTAAAGAGTTCATCAATCACTTCAGACAAGGTTGGATGTGCATGAACAGCAAACTTTATGTCCTGCAAGATGCAATTAAAATGATAAAGCAAAATAGGATAACGTTGCTAAAAATGTGATTGGTATTTATTATCTTTCCCACGAGATTCATGATACTGGAATCCTGCTGAAGATCGCAATGGTTGCAAGAAAAGATTTAGAATTTCACTATTGAAAGAAAACAAGACCGAAAAATCTTTCCAATCCAATACCAAAACCTCTACCCAATTCAGTTGAAATATTTCCGCAACTGTTTTTTTATGAGGAACATGCAATGGAATGTAACGTCTACCTGTATACGTGTTCCCATAGCTATGGCGTTGGATGCTTCATGTATGAGGTCCGCAGCATGCATTCCAAAGATGTGAACTCCTAGTATCTCCCCATTGTCGGGTCTGTATATCATCTGCATCAAACAAACATTTCAATGAACAAAAACAATACTACTAATCTTGGGATACTAGAAAGTAGAAACAGACTAAAACCATTCAGAAACAAAAAACAAACTCCAAGAAGTAGCTAAGTATCATAAACACAATCCATGAACAATGAATTAGAAAAGATGACACGGCCACCTTTGCAATTCCCTCCCCTTCATTTTCAGCAAGGGCTTTTGTGTTAGCCTTGAAACTAGTCTTGACTATACCAATCTCAAAGCCCTCCTTTTCGGCTTTTTCTCTGGCTTGAGGCTGCAAAATTGCAACAAAACAATAACACTTTTAAGCAAAATGCAATTGACAACCAAAAAATTAACCCAGTATGAAAGACTGAATGTTAACAAGCATATATCCTTCAGTGAGTTTGCATACACATCAAGTGTATGTAGGTGCATAAAATAGGCACACTTGCTTAAGTTCCAGTGTCCAGCATCAGACCAATATACAACAAATAGACTCATTAAACTAACTATTATTTATTATATGCTGAACATCCTAAAAATACAAAAATAATGTTAAACAATAAATTTTCCTTCTAGTGCTGTAACTCATGAAATGAAACGATATTTAAAGAACAAACATTATCGAGATATAACCAGTAAAGAAAGTGCACAAGGAAACACCTACTATTCGCAAAGAAATTATTGTACCTCTGTTAATCCAACCATACTGATTTCAGGATGGGTAAAGCATGCAGCTGGAATGCTTAAATGATTCAGGATGTGGTCTTTTCCAGTAACTTGCTCAACAACTAGTTAAGAAGAAAAGGCCAAATGTTAAGCAATTACAGGAAACTTGCTCAACAATAAACATAGCAGTTGATGTCCCACGAGATCGTTACCAGAGATTCCTTGTGCACTTGCAGCATGTGCAAGCATCATTTTTCCATT